CTAGCCACGTAACACTTTTTCCAAATCCTAATGATTTTCCATTACTATGTTCTTTAACATAGATGAGTTTAGCTGGATTCAACAGATCATCAACAGAAAATAGTAGAACCGTATTAATTGATTGTATATAAATACAAAAAAGAGTCAAAACGATTATCACCACAAAGGACAGCTGAATCGCAGAAAGAAAACGTTTCCGAATCCAAGAAAAAATTTAAAATAGTTGAAAAACCTCCATCAGATGAATCCACATTTGTAGACTGGTTAAGAAATACTGTCGACTGTCATTTCAATAATTTATCAGACAACGAAATTCTCAAACAATGTGCGAATCTATGTCAAAAGCACGTCAACCTACTGCAGATGAATGTGTGGAAAAAGGTCGAGAATATTTTAAAAGCTTAGGAATAACAGATGAACAACTTGGAGAACATGTTTCTTCGTTGCTCAAACTTGCCGGTGATAAAGAAATCAGAAAGCAGCCACAAGCTCCATCGGAAGAGAATGCTCTTAAGATGAGGTGGCTTAAAGAACGAAATCTTAATTTAAATCCCGATAATTGTGATATGAAAGAAAAACTGAAATGGATCGATGCTAAATAATTGTTTAGGGAATCGGTGCAACAAAACGGTATAGAACATTGGAAGGAAATATTTGCAGACAACTCACAACCACATGCAAGGTACTTCAATGTATTGGATCCAAAAGATAAGAGTGTATGGCCCGAAGACTTCGATAAACTGTTGGCCGAGCTTAACAGTTTTCTTACCACTAACATATAAACGAATTATAACACAAAGTATAGATTTTACCGATTAAGAGATAGGCTGTTTCTTATTTCGATTCATTTTGCTTCATCTACTCGAGATAAGAATAATTACGATTTTATAGTATTTTAACCATAAATAACGAAAGATTATCTACTTACGATTCATTATTACGTAGTAAGGCGGAGGTCTGTGGAATGGGCTTCTCTAACTCTGTTTTCAGTTAAAACTAGAGAAAACAGAAGTCCAGACAAGCTTTCCGAGAAAAAACTTTTTAGTGCGTAGCAGTTGCAGCGAAGGACCCTTTCGTCTGGTGTTTTTGGAAATCATCTGTGTCAAAGATACGGATGATGCTTTTTTAATGGGATCTTAATGTAAATAAAATCTTCAAATTTTTACAAGATGAAACATAGAAAGAGAGATATAGAAAAAAAATCGTCTTTTCACTAGAAGTCATTCGAAGACGTCGGGCCAACTCATAGATGTCAATTCAAAGACTGCAATACAGAACTATGCAGACTATGAGAACTATCCACCACATACCAATATCAAGAAAACTATTCAGAACTGCTCATAGTATGTATTGAAAACTATGAGAACTATTCAGAACTATGGAGAACTGTTCCTAGTATGCATTCAAAACTATTCGGAACTATGCATTGTATGCGTCGAGAATTATGAGATCTATTCATTACTGTTGATGGAGGAGTGTTAGAACCAATGAGAAGAATGGTTTGAGTGCTATTAGTAGTTGTTGATCGATAGCTGAGAACTGTTTAGAGGTATTCATTGAGTATTGAAGTTTGATTTTCGCAAGAAAAACGTTGTAGAATTATGTTGCGTGAAGTGTTTTGGGTACTGATAGGACTGGAGAATATCGGGTTCCGGACCGTGTGTCTGCTATTGAGTGGTATTCGGGACACGTCGTACATTTTGTGTGGTTTGATTCAAGTTTCTGCCAGTTTATTCTTCTTGTTTTTTTCGATTTCGCTTTATAGTGAAAAAGAATTTGTGGTTGTTGATGTCTTTCTTGTTGGAGAAATAGTTTTATCGTGTGTATATGCATAGAATGGATATAGAGGTGATATAGAGGGAGAAACATAGACAGAAATTTTATTCTAAGACTACAGTTTTAGCTCGGAGCATGATGGTTCTGGTCTTTCTAAAAGAGAACTTCTCCGTGATTTAGAATTTGTGCTAAACTTCTTTTCTGATTTTTAGGCGGGTTGCAATCAATTCTCTTTTTGGCTAGAGCGTAGAGAGAAGACAAGAATAGACAAGTTGGATAATCAACCTGCATTAATTAGCGTATCGAACGATAAATTGCGTGCACAACGTTAATTAAAATTGTTAGTGATGCAGATTTCACTATTGGGAAATAAATTATTGGTACTATTACTTCAAATCCGCACATTTACACGTATTAATTAGCGTATGAAAAGACAAGCTGGGTAGTCAACCTGCATTAGGTGGCTTATAAAACGACAAATTCGATAGCCAACAAATTGTATTTTATGATGTTAAGTCTAATCATTCAACAAAAGACAAAAGGGGGCAATTCTATTATTATGCTGGTGAAGAATACCATAAAGCTGATTATATCGTATTAGTTCGTGTAAGTTAATCAAGTTGAAGTTAATACTGCTATTCTTTTTTGGCTAGAGTGCAGAGGGAGAAACATAGACAGAAATTTTATTCTAAGAGTACAGTTTTAGCTCGGAGCATGATGGTTTTGGTCTTTCTAAAAGAGAACTTCCCCGTGATTTAGAATCTGTGCTCTTTTCAAAAATTTTCTCTCTTGTTAAACTTCTTTTCTGATTTTTAGGCGGGTTGCAATCAATTTGAACAAGGATTAATTTTGATCAAACGAGAATTATATATAAGAGAACTGGAAACTTCGAATTAGTTCATGAAAAATATGGTCAAATATTAGCAACATCTTTTAGTATGTTTCAATTTTTATATATTCGTGGTAAAAATATTCTCGGTCGATCATTGTCATTTAAACTAGAATTGGTGATTAATCGAAGAAATTTAATTTAAAAAACAAACCTTGGACTCAGACAGGTGAGAAATACTTAATCATTTTAACGTGTATATGTCGTTTTTTCTATATTTATTTTAGACAAGTGGTTTTTCAATCATTGCCGAACGTTTAAATATTTTACGTTGTATTTCGTATTTTCGTTCTGTTCATCGTGGGGATGCATTTACTGAAGCAAAAACAACATCAGTGAGAATTACATCCAGAAGCATGAGGACTCTTGTGTGCTGTTCATACGCCGGATGGATCATTATGTGGACTATTGAATCATTTGTATCGAAAATTGGTCGTCAATGAAAGATAAAAAAGGGATACAAGTTATTTTTTCATTGTAGTTCGTTATTATAACCTTTATTTGTGAAATATAACTAGAGAACAAAAGCGAGGCCAGGGCCCATTACGATATTCAAGGAAAAACACTAGAAGGAGAAAATAGAAACCAAGATTTCCCGAAACACGCTAGAAAGTGAGGGTGAGGGGGTGAGTTTTGTTGTGATTGTAGTTCGTTTTTCTTTGTGGTTTATTATTTCTTTTGGTCTCATCTTCTATGTCAAATAAAGAATATTTTACTTTATATGCTTTGCCTTTTTTCCTGCAGCAAAACAGTTGGGTTTCTGACGCTCTTGATATTGTTCCACTACGCGCTGAAGCATTGAGTGGACTACTGCTAAAGTTCTTTTCATAGGCAGATGTCTTGTGCAAATGAACGAAACTCTCTTACTAATATATCGTCCTGTCTTACGTTATCATTTAATAAAAGTGTATTTAGAAATGTAGACTAGCAATTGGTTCATGTATTGTTCATGTATAAAATCAAATAATTGTATATAAGATTACGTTTTACATTTTTAGAACGATAATATTCATTTATATTAAATGTCTGTAATAAATATTCAACAAT